AGCATCCATTTCACATAAGTTCTTCAAATGTTTAAAACCCTCCTTCTAGAGATCCGGAATAGCAATGATGCCGATTCTTCTAAGGAGCGCGCCCCAATGGAACAATCTACGCAGCTGGCGGAAAAATGGGAATTCGCAAAAACTGATGAAGGCAAGGGCGAATTCGTTTTATCGATGTCCATCTGCCACCTTCGTGATGGGCCCTGATCTCAAATATTCTTGAGCAGTAGCCAGTAAAGATGTGCTGCATTTTTATCTTACCGCTTATCCTTACAACTCCGATGACATGGATTGACTGAGCAGCAGTCTTCAACTAATTTCTTATGCGCACGAATGCGATGAAAAGCAAAGATACGGTCCGATACCTTGTCCTGTAGCCCTAAGTCAACCTTCATCATTACTCACTCTACTCCATATTCACGCCACAAGACATCTCCGCAAATAATGGAAAACCGTTTATTGAGGATCCTGAGTTCCCAGTGTGAGTCTACAGACGGATTCTATAAAATGAGGCAAGATTCAAAAGTTTGAGCAATGTGCTGCCTAGTAAGATCGAATCATTCAATTTCTTTTCCCACTTCAACAACATACTTACAACTGGTACATCTTTTGTTTCTGCTTCTTATTAATGTTGCAGCATATAGCCATGATAACAATCAGCAAAATGATAGCTCCGTCAACTATGGCGATAATTACCTCAACGTTGACTGACCCTGAAATGTCTGAAGATGAACTGAATGATTAGTTTTGCGCTGTTCTCTGCTAACTTTTTGGAGTAACATAGATTTTGCTTGCTCTCGGCTTCAGAATCATTCTGTCTCCGACAAGATCAGGAACCATCAGATTTCTAGGGTCCTTGATAGCACAAAAAGTGATCCCGTAAGTTTTGTCATAATGGATGCCGGATATGGAAACGCTGTTGTTCGAGTCCTCCTGAATACTGGTGGGTGTACATTACACTTCTCGTCAAGATCGAGTATTCTGAAAATATACCAGGCAGTAACCAAGACGGTCGAATTTTAAGCAATTGGTAGTATTTCCGATGATGCGCGTTATGTTAACCTCAGCAAGGGCCTCCTGAAACATAAGAGTTAGAGCTATCAGAATAGAGATATGGTTGAAATTAATGATATTAACTCAATGTTAATTAGGGATAACTAATTGCGTATATTCAACCTCTGATTGCCTAGGATATGGCAATGCTTCTCCATAGAACGCTTTGTAGTAAACTGTTGGCGGCTCGCCTTTGCGCACTATCGGATCGAATATGATGTTGAGAGAAAGACTCGTTTCTTTCTCACCAGGTGCAGAGTACTCTTCCGTAACCTATGATTAGCAGAAATTTGCTAGGGGATCTCCACTTCAATAATCACCTCATAGTGAATACTATCAATACGACCGCAAATTGGAGGTGTATGCATACATGGACTGTTTCTCACATTGTCACAGTCTAAAAAAGCTGAGACAAAATCGTGTCGACAAAGTCATTTGGTCTAATCCCTAGAATTCCAGCTTTTTTTACAGTAATAGTTCATGCTCAGAATAATGTTGAATTTGGGGGTTTCGCTTGCTGTTATAAAGGAGAGAGTGAGGCATCAAACAAGAAGAGTAGACTGTTAGAGTAGCAGTTTAAAGATCACGAATCACGAGCCAACATTTTGTGTCTCGTTCTTCTTCGCTTACTATTTGAAAGATTATATATATCGTTATGTAAGATTTTCTTATGCCGAAACCAGGTTAATTGGTGGAACTTTATTGACTCAATGTTTCGAACAATTCGTCTTCGTCAGGAGTCTAGAAAAGATCGTAGGTATTTGTACTTTCACTACACCGCCAAACGTCTCGTCAAACGCTGCCCATTAGACCTTCCCTGGTGCGATGTCTGAAAAGCAAAACGAGAGTGTCAATCTCAGTCCACCATAAAACCAGTAGCCCGCACAACTGTGACGGACGCAACTGAGTTTATACTCATTGTACATATATTATGTGCGGATGTGAGCTTGCATAGTGATAGCAGGGGCAAGAGATCACTCGTAATGGCAATACATTCATTTTTACTACTCATAGCAGGATTCTTGGAGGATATCCATGCTGCTTCAAGCGTTTTTCGTGCGCAAATCTCATTCTCAAGAGCCAGTGTAGTACATTTTACGTCGAATAAGGTGCCATTGTGTGTTTTAAATCTATGTTTACCTAAAGGTGATGCTGGAGTTCCTCGCTTCATGCTAGCCAAGTGTTCTTCAATCCTAGTGCTCGAAGGTCTACGCGTTTCGCCTATGTATAATGCTCCGCAAATTAAACATTCTAATTGGTATATAACTCCCGATTTTGCGCAATCCCCTGCTTTTCCGTAATGGCAAACAATACAGTCCTTTGATATACATTGCATATCGTAGCATCTATTTTTAACCAACCGCTTTTTGATGTTGTCACTGGGTATGTCAACTGATCTGACATCGTTATGCAGTTGAGCTCGAAGAATGCACTGTCTAATTGCTCTGCTGACTTTATTGCAAATGAAGGGTATGCATAACGGAAGTTTGGTGTCATTACGCTGCCCATTGCCACTTTGACCTTTATTAGATTTTCCTAATCGTGATCGTGTGGCTGTGCTGTGACCATTACTGAGGGCAATTTTCGTGGCCAATTCTCGTGATTCGAGTCGCTCGTTCTCGCCCGTGCATACTTCTACAACAGTTCTATACATGTTACATTTTATAGCATGTTTGTGTGCTGTGGGATGAGCTGACGTGGCGTGTATTAAAATATTCTTTGAGCTTTCCTTTCGATACCATTTAACTTGAATGGTATTGTCAGATAAGTGTATCTGGGTGTTCAGATAGGAAAGCCAACCACCGCGAGGGAATTCTCGTGTAAGCTTAATGTGCCGCGATTGCTGATTCAGGATATTGTAACATTCGTCCATTTCGGACTGTGTTGAAGTTATGACACAGCAATCATCGATGTACCGGCAGTACATTAGCGGTAGGCGTGCTATTACTGGTTCCTCAATCTTGCTCTTGAAACAGACTGCGAGGACTGGAGCATGTCTCTGACCCATCGCAAACCCCTCTTACCTGGGAATACTAATTCCCAGCACATTCAAAGATGTCACAAATCAAACACTCAAACACTCATACTGGTCCTCATTAAAGAGTGTTTAACCAGGGAACCAGTAATAGCACGCCTAGCGCTAATGTACTGCCGGTACATCGATGATTGCTGTGTCATAACTTCAACACAGTCCGAAATGGGAAATGGACGAATGTTTCAATATCCTAAATCAGCAATCGCGGCACATCAAGCTTACACGAGAATCCCCTCGCGGTGGTTGGCTTTCCTATCTGAACACCCAGATACACTTATCTAACAATATTATTCAAGTTAAATGGTATCGAAAGGAAAGCTCAAAGAATATTTTAATACACGCCACGTCAGCTCATCCCACAGCACACAAACATGCTATAAAATGTAACATGTATAGAACTGTTGTAGAGGTATGCACGGGCGAGAACGAGCGACTCGAATCACGAGAATTGGCCACGAAAATTGCCCTCAGTAATGGTTACAGCACAGCCACACGATCACGATTAGGAAAATCTAATAAAGGTCAAAGTGGCAATGGGCAGCGTAATGACACCAAACTTCCGTTATGCATACCCTTCATTTGCAATAAAGTCAGCAGAGCAATTAGACAGTGCATTCTTCGAGCTCAACTGCATAACGATGTCAGATTAGTTGACATACCCATTGACAACATCAAAAAGCCGTTGGTTAAAAATAGATGCTACGATATGCAATGTATATCAAAGGACTGCATTGTTTGCCATTACGGAAAAGCAGGGGATTGCGCAAAATTGGGAGTTATATACCAATTAGAATGTTTAATTTGCGGAGCATTATACATAGGCGAAACGCGTAGACCTTCGAGTCTACGCGTTTGAAGAACACTTGGCTAGCATGAAGCGAGGAACTCCAGCATCACCTTTGGGTAAACATAGATTTAAAACACACGATGGCACCTTATTCGACGTAAAATGTACTACACTGGCTCTTGAGAATGAGATTTGCGCACGAAAAACGCTTGAAGCAGCATGGATATCCTCCAAGAATCCTGCTATGAGTAGTAAAAATGAATGTATTGCCATTACGAGTGATCTCTTGCCCCTGCTATCACTATGCAAGCTCACATCCGCACATAATATATATAACTTGACACACTGAGTATAAACTCAGTTGCGTCCGTCACAGTTGTGCGAGTTACTGGTTTTATGGTGGACTGAGGTTGACACTCTCGTTTTGCTTTTCAGTACACTGCACCAGGGAAGGTCTAATGGGCAGCGTTTGACGAGACGTTTGGCGGTGTAGTAAAAGTACGAATACCTACGATTCTTTTCAGACTCCTGACGAAGACGAACTGTTCGAAACGTTGAGCCAATAAAGTTCCACCAATTAACCTGGTTTCGGCATAAGAAAATCTTACATAACGATCAAAACGAAAATGCCCAGGTACAAAGAAGAGAACACATGGAAATTATATCGTTATGGTAACACATGCTTAACAGAGAGACAAAAAAATATGGAGAAAGATTATCTGAAAGTTAGAGCAAGGGCTAATGATAGATTGACTTATGGTGAGTTGCTGCATATCCGCAGGTGGAGGAGAACGTAGTTCCGTTGAGGTTTGACATTGCCGACTTAGAGCATGTGCTGTATAGTAGATGAAATGGCATTTGTTATACATCATGCGCGATCCTACTCGTCCGATCACAGTACCGGGGAGCGAACCTTGCCTCTGTACCGAATAATTCAGGCATTTGAATAGCTCATGCAAGACATACAAAATCAGGGATTGGCTCTCTTGTTGTCAGGTTTGAGTTTTCGCATTTGAACACATGAAACATAGGAGTCACATCTAGATCCTGTAATCCCAAAGCCCAAGCTAAAAAAATTATGTGTAAGTGGAATTTACTCAAATTCCTCCTTCACTAACAACTCACCTCCCACCTTATATCTGAAGATCACTTCAACTGTACCATTATCGAAATATGGTCCACTCTCATAAGGAGTGTCCTGAAAATCTCACGATACTCGTTAAACTGATAAGAAAAGCGTACCAAGTAAACCATCGTTAAGAGTTCTAGCCTGGGATTAAAAATTGGCCGTGGTGCATCGAGTGAAAAAGGTTTAGAGAATGGCCCAGTTCCAGATGAAGAGACGGCAGCCACGCTTCAACAAGACTGGCGTTAGTAGCAAAAGCAAGATTATTAAATTGCAATAAGTTACAAAATCTTGACTTTGCTGCCTGTTCAAAAGTGCACTAACCGAATTATGACCGGATCACAGAACAAGGACTTAGGTCTCAGCTGATTTGTTATAAAAGGTTGCAAAGAGATCTGAAAAATGATTTCCGTGACTACATAATGTATATGGTAAGGAAACTGTTACTGAGTGTACCTCGTATTGGGGAGAAGAAAGGTTGGCATTACTTAATTGGTATTGTACCACATAAAATGTTGCTTCTTCAACAGGATGAAAGACAAGGAATGTCGCTAGATCCTTCTGCTTTAACTCAAACCCACTAACGGCTTCAAGTGTTGCCGCTGGGCTAAGATCCTTGCACACTTCCCAGCAGCTCCAGTCAGTGGAAATCTGTGATTGTTTTGACATAGTTGAAGTCATCAGAATAATCGCCAGAACTTACACAAAGCTGCGGGTCATCATAAGCTTTGCACTCTGTCAAGCACTGTTGTACGGTGTTGTTCTGGAGAAATATTTGGTGAATGCACTGGCATGCATTTGCAAATGAAAAAAATGCATTTGCAATGCATTAGGCAAACTTTAAATTCTGTAGCTTTGATATAGAATATCGCCCGCTCAACTAAACATCAGATAAGTACAAGCACGCAAGGCTTCTGTGCTGAGGCGACTGCCTTGGATGAGCCCGCGCAAACCAATTTCGCTCCCGTGCAGCAAGTTCACAATTTTTCTCGCGCTGGGACGCGCGTCATTAGTCATAAGAGCCCTGCAACGACACAGCGTCTAAGAAGGGAAGGATACTAAGTGATCGTGGCCTTTTAAAATGAAACCCTTACCATTTAATGCATTTTGGAGCGCTAATTCCGAACATGCATCCAGCGTTCGCTGTGCGCTCTTTCGATATAGGCATTTCTTGCCACAAACATATGCACTTTTTTATGAATGGATTCACCAGTAAGTACCGCTGATATGATCACTTAGGCACTACAAAAGAGCGTCCAAATCAAATAAAGATTTACATTAGGCTAAAAACTATCTTCAATATATTCGAGTCTAAAAGGCTGGAAACTGACGATTTCGACCGCTTAGATCTAACAATTAGTGTAGAAAAAATCCATAACTACGTTCTGGGAGTCGCACAGCAAATAGTAAATTTATTATTAGATTTGGAGTTAGCGTTTTAAAGCGCATCTATTAGTACACATCTCGCTGCAAAAGGCCACGGTCACCAAGTATTCTTGCCTTGTAAGCTGGTTTGCTGGCTGCGCCTGTACATGTTCGAAAAATTGCTTTGGTCCTGTTTTGCCATTTTTGTGCACTCCAGAGAAGAGTTTTGGATTTATATTGACTGATAACTTCCGAATAGAAAGATTTGAAGGTCAGTGATACTAATAATGAGAAACAGCCTTCAAAATACAGTGCGTTTCATAACTATACGACCCCCCGAAAATTTTGGATTTCCGGATTTACAGAGGAGATCAAGTACTCCAGTCAGTGCCTTTATGGTCTACATTTGATATTTTCAATCAACATGTCTGGTCACTTGCTTTTTTACATGTAGAGACATGTTTATTCTTCCACCGTTTCACAACTATACGACATCTTTGAGCAAGGTACTTCTTCCAAGGAGAAGAAAACTCAAAACGAGATTTATGAGTAATTGGACTACGAACCTTCTCTACCACTCTTCAAGTCTATTGGAAAGGCTTCTCACAAATTCACGAATGTTTTAGTTCACTGTCGTCACATGCGTCCAACCGAACTGTTCCAACTTTTCCAATGCCTCGTACTGTTTGTAACTGCTCAGAAACGTCGTGCCAGTAATCTTCAGAGATTTTTTTGAAGGATTTGAGGCAAGACAGTAATGTCGCCTTTACAGAAACTGCTCGCGATGTTATCGAAGAACGGCGGTAAGTGATCCGCGTTTATGTTCACATGCGTTGTGCTGCTGTGAAACGTAGTGCTATTGTAGGCGCTTTATCAAGAAGATGACAGAAAGAATGAACAATGATTTGGTAGTGTCATCTACTCAAAAAAAGTTTAGTCCGGACGATTATGACTTCTACAGAACCGACTGGCCGAATGCAAGTGAAGTCCACATAATTTTAGCTAGAGAAGGTTTCTATGATCTGGAAGCAGTTTGCGTTGTCCAAAAGCCAAATTTGATGAGAAAATTTTCGCGCAGACTGCCAAGAAGTGCTGAAAAGCCAACGACTGATCTCATTCCACGAGCGCCGATGACGGCACTACATCGAAGCAACACAACGCACCGAACATGCATGCGGGTCACTTATCACCATTCCTCGCCAGCATCGCGAGCAGCTTCTGTAAAAGTGACGATACAGTCTTGCCTCAAATCCTTCAGAATACCTCTGGAGGTTACTAACACAGGGTTTCTGAGCATTTACAAACAGTACATGGTATTGGAGAAGTTGGAGCAGTTTGTTGTGAACGCATGTGACAACAGTAAACCGAAGACATGCATGAATCTGTTAGAAGCCTTTCCAATAGACATGATAGAGTAGTAGAGAAGGTCCGGTAGCCCGATTACTTATAAAAATCCCGTTTTGCGTTTTCTTCTTCTTGGAAAAAGTACCTTGCTCAAAGATGTCGTATAGTTGTGAAACAGTGGAAGAATAGACATGTCTCTACATGTAAAAAAACACGTGACTAGACATATTTACTGAGATGTTATTTTATTCAACATCACACGTAGACCACAAAGGCACTGACTTGAGTATCGATTTCTTCTGTAAATCCGGAATTCTCAAATTCAGGGGGGGGGGGTGTCGTATAGATAAAAAACGCACTATAGTTAGTACAAGATAGACAATCCCAAAATTTCAATGCCCTGTAAATGTGAACGCGTCCTGCCACTGTACAGCGCAATTGCGAAGCCAGGAGAAGTGAGAAACTCGCTCGAGAGTTCGAACACTTAACATTGGAGGACTAATCTTGTCAATGTGAGGTATCTCTTCAGTAGCGCAATGCGCAACCATAAATGATGGGATTATAAATTCACAAAATTCGCTCTGAATCTTGGCGGGAATTGTCGCACTCGTCTTAATTCAGTCAAGCTCCTTGTAATCAAAGTGTGGCAGACAGAGGTGCGATAGTGGGAGCCGATTCTCCCCTACCTTCACTTTTGAGCTGGTACAGGGTGACCACCTTCACTTTTGGAATAAAAATTTTTTCGCTGGACGATAAAGAAGGAAAATAAGCAAAACAAACGCAAAAAAAGATTATTGATATATTTATTTATACGGCGGCATATATGTATATTTAAAATAAACGTGATCAGTAAATGGTGTATTTGGGAGGAAAACTTAGCGAAACTGTACGGATTTTGTTAAGCAAATTTTGTTATAACGTACAGCGAAGAAAGTAGATTGATCCAGGCAGTAACGGCCGAGAACCAGAAATTTGAATAATTGAATAGTGAAAAATCATGCAAAATTTCCACTGTTATAAATCTGTTGTTTGAAGATGTCAGCAGTTGCGACTTCGTAGATTTTGCAGAGTAAATGGTGCTCTATCAGCTAGTGAAAGGATCGAGTGGATTTGAGAGATAGTCGTTGAAAACCAGAATTCTAAAAATTTACGCTATTTTTACGTGTTTTTTGACAGTTGACAATTAAACTCATATAAATCTTGAATGTGAAAGTACGTGATGTTGCGACTTCATAGGTTTTATAGAGTAAGGTTTGTCTTATCGGGATATATCTTAGCCGTTCCGATCCATTGAAACACTTCCGAGATCCAGAGTCTTGAAAAAGCAGGTAAAAAAGCCCTTTTTGAAATTCAACAGCTCATAACTTCTTCAGAACTGCACAAATTATGTTGCACTTCATAGGTTAGATTCTTCTCATCAAGAGCTTTCAGAAGATATAAAATATGTGGGCGTTTAGAGCTTTCTACGAATTATGCCCGTGGGGGAGCCTTTTCATACCACAGTCTCCCCCTAGCCCACTTTAATGTATTGGAGGGGGGAGACTTTGGTATGAAAAGGCTCCTCCCCCGGGCATAATTCGTAGAAGGCCGTAAACCCCCACATTTTATATATCATCTGAAAGGTCTTGATGAGAAAAATCTTACCTATGAAGTCGCAACATGATTCATGCAGTTCTGAAGAAGTTATGAGCTGTTGAACTTCAAAAAGCGATTTTTTACCTGCTTTTTCAAGACTCTGGATCTCGGAAGTGTTTCAATGGATCGGAACGGCTAAGATATATCCCGATAAGACAAACCTTACTCTATGAAACCTATGAAGTCGCAACATCACGTACTTTCACATTCAAGATTTATATGAGTTTAACTGTCAGCTGTCAAAAAACACGCAAAAATGGGTAAATTTTTAGAATTCTGGTTTTCAACGATTATCTCTCATATCCACTCGATTTTTTCACTATCTAATAGAGCACCATTCACTCTGCAAAATCTGCGAAGTCGCAGCTGCTGACATTTTCAAACAACAGATTTATAACAGTGGAAATTTTGCATGATTTTTCACTATTCAATTATTCAAATTTCTGGTTCTCGGCCGTTACTGCCTGGATCGATCTACTTTCTTCGCTGTACGATATAACAAAATTTACTTAATAATATATGTAAAGTCTCGCTGAGTTTCACTTCAAAACACACCATCTACCAAACACGTTTATTTTAAATATACATATATATATGCCGCCGTATACATAAATATATGCTTTCAATAATCCACTTACTAAACACGTTTATTTTGAATATATTAGGTCGTTCCATAAGTTCGTAGCGTTTTCATTTTCGTACTCATATCTTTGAGGAGCGGTTGTTTTGCGGCAGGATGCGTATATCATTTTGAAGGGGTGATTGTGCTCTTTGGAAAACGTCTATTGATTGCGGTGGAAAGCTGATTCAATCGAATCTCGCAGCTTCCAAAGATGGAAATCTTGAAAGGCAAAAAGGAGCAATTTCGGCATTTGCGCCTTTTTCGTTATGAAAAGAACCCTTTTTGCGCGGTTTCTTGTGTCGATAATGGAACATGGCGCTCGATCATCAATAGACAAAAAAGGAGTGGATTGATACAAATGAGCAGAAGCTGAGCAGGGTGTCCCTGAGCAAGACTTTTCGGGGGACGTGCAGGACGTCGTGCACTGAAAATTGCTGTGCAGGTAGGCGATGGTCAACCATACCGTAAGCAATCCAACGGCACCGTCTAGACCAAGTCCTACCGCGGAAAAAGCCTAACAGACAGATCCAGCGAGTTTTTTTGCACGACGAAACATGGCGAACGTCGTCAAAACTGTCCTCCACGATTTGACTGGAAGGTACTTCAGTACCCAAAAGACTCTCTAAACCTCGCTCTATCGGATTATCATTTGCTCCGCTTTCTGGCAAACCTCATGAATGTTGCATGTCTCGATTTCAGTAAGCAGTTTGAGCGCTGGTTATATGACTTTCTTGGGACCCGGCGCGCTGCGGTTTGAAAAATTGAGGTTGAGAAGCTAACGAGAATCTGCCAAAAGGTCGTGCGCTACAAAGAGGATCAAAATTTTGATTGATTTTTACCGTAAATTGATGATTTTGTTGGTTTATAAAAACGCTACGAACTTATGGAACGACCTAATATATGCCGCCGTAAATGTTTCTAAAACGCAGTTCATAATTCAGCGAAACCTTTCTATGATGTTCTCGCTATTATCCGGAAGATATACAAGAAAACTATGCCACATGAAAGCGCGTAGCTGAAAACGCTCGTAGCACAAAAATCAAATTCGTTTATGGTCTAGTTTTAGCATTGCGCAAAAATTTTTTGTGAATTGTTCATTACCATAAAACATCTCGAACAGCTCTTTTCGCTTACAGTGTTCCGGCAAAACTTCGCTCCTCGGTTTTTCAGGCCTTCTCGCCATGCTGAAGCCATATCTGAGTTTTTCAGCGCTTGAAAATGGCAGAAATGAGCTTTTTTCGAAGCTCTCCTGTCCGCGTCCGCTCCAAATCACGTGTAAGAAGTGAGCAGGGTCTGCAAATGGACTGGATTCTGAAGAACCTCGGAGCGGATTTTGGGCTTTTCAGGGACTTTTTTCGCTCAAGACTTCACTGATAGACTATCTGGATGGTCCACCATTGGAACACTGTAAAACCACGGTACCCATCATTATGAGGGGACGCTGCTTCTGACACTGCAGACTTTGGCACTCCACTTCGGTGTAGAGTCGCACTGTAAAAGTCGTTTGCCAATGGAGAGTATTTCATCATCATTCGGCTCATTTTCCAAAATTCTCCTACAGACACTACTATGAATCCACTTTGAAAGTCAGCATGATTCGCTTTCTTATGGATTAACCTATCTAGAGTTTTGCTACTTGTGCGCATGCTAGCCTACCCCATTCCTCAGACGGCTTCCAATCTCTTTGAATTCGAACGCAAAAAAATTGAAAAAGAAAAGGCGATCACTGAAAGCTGGACACTATCATAAATCTACTTGTTTTTCCAACAACCAAATCCTTTCACTCTCAAATTTTTCTGTGCATACCGAATATATGTATATCATAACACAATTTGAGAAAACAATATGAGGCAAAGTTCAAGATAAAAATTTGAAGATCATAAATGTTCGCAGTAAAAGCAATCCCCACCAACTTTTTGAAATCAAGATTAACGTCATAACAGTTTTAACTACCATAATTTAGGAAAACAATTCCGATTTTTCTTACAGCTTGTATAGCATATGCAAATAAGAAATTTTTGATTGAAGCGCCTCTGAAATGGCAAGATCATTTGATCAAAGAAGATCATTGAGACTGGAGAAGACACGGATTATCACATATATGGTGCAGAAACTGCACGACCTAATAAATGAATTTGAGAATGACAAGAAAGTTGATCAACCTTATTGTCTCGGTATAACATCAATGGAGAAAAATACCCTCACTTTATGAGGCGCTGACATTTTCAAAAAAATCAAAGTATCCTTGCCACTTCTAATGTGTGATAGTTTCACAAGTGAAGAGGAATAAAAAAGATTATATGAATACAAGCTTTAGCGGAGCTTAAACATATAGTTTGGAGGGTTCTGAAGCAGCGAGCGACGTAAGCTTTGATTCGGTAAGGTTTAGTAAAGCGGACAAAAGCACAAGAGTGATCGAAAGTTTGATGTCCTCCCTCTGCATCGCGTAGTTTCTATGATTGATTTGAAACCTGTTCGTTTTCGCTGTTAGCAATTGGTTACCTTGTTGTTTCATTGGAAACCTCATGAAAAGTGCGGGTTAGAGACTGGCCAGAATTCGCGCGCGCTAAAAACGCCGTCGTGACTCAGTATTATGGGCTATTCGTCTGTGATTCCGAAGAGAAGTCGAGTCGCAACGATTATATCACGCTCCACTGCAAGCGCGGGTAGGGTAAGCGCATGCATTGTTTCAGATTACGATCGCTGACAATCGAGCAAGAAGTATTTTTTGCAGTCACTCAACTGCAGTTGCTGCAGCGATTGCAGTCTGAAACAACTTTTCTAGTACAGTAGGTTTCATCCGCTGTAGGCGGGGATGGGACTGACGGCAATCATCCTCGCAGCCGTTTCGCAGCTCAGTATATCATATTTTCCTAAAAAACCTTGTCTGCACGTCTCCCCATTCCCATGATTCCAAACTGGCAAAATGCCAGCTCTGTGCGCTCACGTAACCTTCAGCGAAGCGGATGCGCTGCTGCGCATGAAATGCCTCGGCCCATTCGATTGAAACATACTGTACGCTGCGCGAGCTGCATTTCAACCTGTCTCAACGTTAATCTAACCTCCTTCCTTGTGTGATTGGAAGTTATCTTATCTCTGATCTTTTATCTTTATGCACATAATGTGCGTACTGAAGCACTCAAATTTTGCCAGTATGTTGTCTATAACGTAAGCTGTAAGCATAGCTGCTGTTCCGCCAAATGTGACGCCGCAATGAGGATTACGGTAGGTATATGGTATGAGAGGGGAAATTGCAAATCATTACGAATTTGGCTGGAACTTGGCGGAAGGGGATTTTCCGACATGCTGATCACAAATTATATGCTGAATTTGCATGGTAAGAGCTTTTTTGAAAGATTACTGTAGTTTAACGGTATGTGGTCTCACCTTAAACAATAGATTAGATTTGACTTAACAAACAAAATGATATTCGTGTTCAACAGATCGAATAACTTCAATATATGAAGTCTCCGCGGATTTCGATGCTTCCACTCCTTAGTCATTGGTGGTTGTCCCCACAAGCCTTGTGTACTTCAACTTTGTGTGGGAGCTAGAACTCGACTTGTCTTTCAAACCCATTCCCTTTCTACTGAGCCAAATTAGTCAGCCTCGTGCAATAGTTCACATACAGTTTCAGATCTATGCATGACGTGAGTTACAAACGGCTTCATTTTTGCTTAAAACCTCATAAATTCTTGAAATTTACTATTTTTGGAAAAATGCTTGTGATTTTTTTATTATATTTCCATTCAAAAAGTTGAACAGTTTGTGCATGGTTGTAGCACACATTAAAATCCACATATAGCCAAAGATTGAGTGCAACACCTTCAAAGAGAGTTAAGTTATGGAAGCAATAGCAAAACTTAATTTCTGACCTAATAAAACGTTAGAGTAGAACAAGGTCTACCAGATACTATGGAACAAAAGCAATCTTCCAAGCGGCCTCTTTTCATACGCAGCAAACCTGAGACTGAGTAGCACGTGAACATTAATGAGGATGATTTGCACACCAATCAGCTAAGCTTGCAGAGTGGCCAGCCATATGTGTTATAGTGCAAGCTGGGCACAAGAATCAGAGAGGTTGAATGCAACAAGGTGGAATTAGCATCAGCGTAAGATTCATGATATATCAACTCTCTTTAGTAAGCTAAAGGGGTCATTCATTATCAAGCAAAAAGTCCTGCGCCTTCTGGTTTGTATGAGCAGAAAACTTTCACGGGAAGACACTTGATAGTCTACATACATGGCTCGCGAAAGACTTATATGGCGGTTTTGACCAGATATTCAAACCACCTCTGGTATTCGAAGACGCACAAGTTGTATTCGTTACATCTGCGTCGATCGTGGGCGATCATAGAAAGGCAAAGTACGGAGTACGACAGAACTTCATTGCGGTCAGTGGAAGGAAGAAATGGGGTCAATCAATACCTTTTGCTGAATCAAACAATCAGCAGTGCAGCGGAACAAACATTTCTGAGATTCACTAAGATCTTCGGAAACAATTGACAGTGGTAGCCATAGCAAAAGCAATGAATCGTAAATCATAATGCTCCCCGGATTTCGCCTGAAAACTTCGAAGCTACATTAAGAAACATAACAAGAGTATGAGATGCCTGAAATCAGTGTCTAATGAAAAATACATCGTTGAGTTGTCGACCTCACGGACTGGCAGTAGATTGCGGAGCATACGCGGAGCGGCTAAATGTCACAAGAGCATGACTGACTGTACAAAGCGATTTGGACTGGTACAACTCAGATAATCGCAGGGGCAGGTGCGCAAACTCGCGCTTTCTGCAAGCGGTCAGCAAAATTTTAACCGTACTTATTCTTTCGTTGCTTTTTTCCTCGTACCATATTTGGTCACAACTTCACATGAAGGAGTGCCAACTTCCTTGCATGTGTCAAAAAAATTTGACATGTTATTTACATGTTTGACAGGTTTAACTAAGACTTTTGTTGCACTACTAAGCGACGTAAGTTCAATCTGCTTTTTGATCAATAGTGGCCCCATTTTCGGTTGAACAGTACAAAAAGGAACGTTGTTATCATGATAACGTCATTCTGTTATTAATGAACAGATTAGGCTTGCCCAGATTAGAGAAGGCCTAAGGTCCCATCATCGAAGTGACGAAACGAGCATTAGCGTGGAACTTCAAGCATCATATGTAGTCTCGTCTGGCTAGATTCGCACTCGGCGATAACTTTGAGGAGAAAGACAATGTGAAGCATTGCTAAAAACGATCAAGATGTTCTAATATAAGTTTTAGATTTTTTTGCTTTTAGAAGAAACAATTGAACAGCTTCTAGGTGATCACAAAGCTCTATTACCTCACCGGAAATGAGTTCAAAAAACATGTTAAGATGGACCAAAACCTGTAAGATTTTCCTGATACGTGGCAGAGAGACAGTACTCGTGAAATCCAAAAAATGTTCCTAGACTAAAAAACATATTTTATGAGGGTCTTCGAAAAATGGTTCAGGATAACGGAAAAGTACCAAGTTTTATGCTACAAATTGCTGTTTCGAAATAGATGTTACAAAATCCATCCCGAGCTGAGAAATTGCAATGCAGAGTTGGTTATTCATTAAGGCTATTCCTTGTGTGTAAAACTCTTAAGCGATAGGCGATTGCATAACTGCTGCATTATACTACAAATGACCTGGTACATTCAGTGGTAGGGAAAAGGGGGAATTTTCTCACTTTAAGCGGAGAAAAATTGAATAATTTTAGAAAGCCAGTTTTTTGAATCCGCAAAGATGTCAGAAAAAAAGGCACTTTCAACTGTTTTTGTAATACTTTTGAATCTCCCTGAAGTCCAAGCTTTGCTCCAGCGCTCAGCCGCCGTTGGCTACACGATAAGCAGGGTGCACTATCCTGCTACATTGGAGTATGTTGTACTCTCTCAAAATAAAGGTTTCAAAAAATCGGCAATCTTCGAGCTAGAGGATCTTTTTCATAATGGTTACAGTTATTCAAAAGTATGTGTTTAACCAAAAACTTGATTTTCAGTAGTGTTTATTGCGTTCAAAAAACCGTACCGGAAGAAACTCATATAACGTCAATGTTGAGTAAAAGAACGTGCACTGATCACGTATCAACCTGATATAAGTTGATTTAAATAACTAAATGAATAATGTAAGGGTTCAGAAGCACACATTGCCTTGATGGCACTAGTGCGAGAAAGAGGTAAGGAACTGCCTCTTCTTGCGCGCTGTTTTTCTCTACGTATGTCGCAATCAGAGCAAGTCACAATTGAGCGAACAATTTCTTTAACAGATTTGTAATCAATCTCTGCTTGATGATGAATTCTTCACTTTTTTAGAAGAGTGTGACACAGCAACTGCACTTCAAAAACAAGTTCCAGATGGACCGTCGAATGACGATTTCCATCTATGACAACCATTCCTTCCTTGATTTCCTTCAAACATTTTCTAAGAGACTAACTTGTTTGAGACTTTTTGTGAAATCATTGACCTTAATAGTCTATGATAGCTGTATTTTTCAACCGTTTCGCAGGACCATGTGATCATAAAGCAGCGCATTTGAAATAAATCAAGCTAATGTTTACGAATTTTTTCTTAATCTACTTGTTTCTTGCTTGCTGCCTCAACAAAAATAACTTTTGTGCAAAAATGCACACCGTAACGAACTGATTAGGCCTTCGCTCTAACAAGGCCGATGCCTAGTGTTTTATTATTTTAACCGGACGATCAAACCAGTACTTATTGTGGAATGGAGAACTGGCACGTTTTCTCACGAGCATAACATATAAAAGGTAGTTCAGTGATTTGCTTGCACCAGTACTTGCAATGTCCGAATAAATAACAAAGCACATTAAATTTCTCCGCAGTTCCGGCCAATATTTTCATTTGTTTTTTATCTAGCAGCGATTCAACATGAGACTTAGAGATGGAGAGAAATTAGTTGAAAGTCTGCGATGAAACTTTCTTTCTTAGTTGTCATTTTCCTTCGCAAAACTGCATCAAGTTCCATTAAATTTCTTTGAAAAACGGTGCCCAAATTTCAGATGGCTCCTAATCGTTTTGGAAATAAAATGTCGGACTATTCGGTATAATATAGTGACGGGGAACAAAACACAAACAATTTATTATGTACTTTTCAGCACTTGTCGCGCTTCGTACTTATTTTATTAGGTCATTCCTAAAGTAATCGCTTTCTTCAAAGGGGCGCCACATCTGAAGGAAAAGTGTATCTAAGAGATCTGGGCCGGTAGTAATCTGGCCGAAACTCCGAGTTTAGAGCTGCGCTTTAACTCAGAGTTAATGTCAGTTGATAGTTAATGTCATGAGATAAACCACTCGTATTCCATGCAGTCGCCTGGTTTCCCAATGCTCAGATAATACAATCGGCGGTCGTGCACATTCTGTCATACGCTCGATTGCGGCTCAGTTGTTTTTTGAGATTTGAAGTAGGGATACCTATAACTTCGACGGTATCATCGAGAAAATCATCTTAAAACAAGAATTTCCTGATAGCTGTGCTAAAATCGTCAGATACGAAGAACACAAAACGTTATTTTTGTTCATTTCGATCGGTCTGCTTTCTTGCCTACAGGTTGCATTGGTGCACCTTTCGCGGGATAGCCGTTATAATTTGCAATCTGTTTGACAAGGTTCATCGATGCATTGCGCTGTTCAACGCTGAACGAAACCGGTTTCACTGTCTTGAGCATGTTGCATTCGTGGAACGTTTCATGCTCCAAGGTTGCCTAGAGCGGTAGTGAATTAATATGGCCTTACTAGCTTGTCTGCGTAATCATTTAGTTAGTATGATCCGTAAGATCAAAACATTTGACGTTTAAGAATGTTAGCCAATTTTCATCGGGTTCATTCCACGTGAACCTTATGTTAAGGGATTGGCTATTCAGAATGTCAAAGCATATGTCTACTTCACTTTGAAGCATATTGGCAGCAGTCGTCAATCTATATATAAAAGAGCATGAGCTTACGAGCAATTACTTTTTTTTTTTTGATCTTTGACAGGAAGACGATTGCGACGAAGGAAGCCAATCTTTGCTCCGTCGCTAAGCCGTACCTGCTTGTAATACTTTCCTGACCAGAGGAATATGGCGGCGTTGCAGGATCCTCCAAAGGCCTGCCGCTTCTTCTCCAGGTGCGCGTTTCGGAGGCAATTATTGCTTCGCGCCTCTCTCGCACCTATCTCACACCTATCTCGCAGTTTCAACGCTAGAGAAACAAGCTCCGCCCCTTGGCCCCGCCCCCAGATCGACCTCATTGTCGCTAGCGCTTTCATGGATAAGGGTTGAGCCAGACTGCGCGGCGTACGCGGCGTACGCAGCGTACGCCGCGTTCGCTCCTATGATGAAATATACCGAGCGTACGCTGCGTACGTCACGTACGCCCGTACGCCGCGCACTCTGGCTCAACCCTAACGAGAAGAATTCAAGCAAGCTTCGTAAGAAGTGGTTATAAGCAAGCTTCCAGTAAGCTGTGTGGAAAAAAAACATTGAACATCACTCCCAAACATCCCCAACTTGGAACCAATTAACATAACTTTGACCTTGTGCACTGATAAGGTTCACTGATAAGATAAGAACTGAAGGGTTAAAGCCGACGGCTAATATGTAGCCCATAACATAGTCCATAGGCAAAAAGAACAGCTTTGTAGACTATGAAAAGGTGAAATGCGAGGTGCTCGCAACGCAACATGTCTTACTATCAGGTACTGCGCTCTTGCTTACTTTTCTCTTTCTTTTTTCATTTTTTTGTTTTTTTTTCCTCAATTTGACAAAATTTTTACCTTGAGACCCTCTTTAGGCAGAATTTCAATGCTTCAGCAACTCGTTCAACTATTTCCCTCCAGCTCTGTACCAAGCTCAGCTGAATGGCATGATGTATACTTACCCTAGTCCTAGCCAACTTTACAACTTTCAAGGGTGGCCTGAGGTTGGCTTGAATAATGACAAATTTAAAACCAGTGATGAATCAAGTTGAGCAGTATGTAATGTCTTCTGCAACGCCACCAACAGAGGTTTTCAATTCAAACACAGTTATTGTATTCCAACACCATTGAGTGAGCAAAACCTACAGGTATGAATTATACCGTTGTAAACATGCCCTCATGTGCTTTTTTAGATCGAAGGTTTTGCAACTACGCATCAGAACTTTTACGCTGAACAAGCGAATTTAAAGGTAATTCGCTTTACTTCATGGCTTCAGATACAATCTAACTGAGAGAACGTGAATTTGAGGCCGATTCTACTGCAACAACACATGAAACTTACTATGTGGAGGAACCTGAGGAACCTAATTCGCCTTCAACAGCACTGCCTGAGCTTCCTGTTGCTGCTCCAAGAGAGAGTACCCGCTATGCGGGCATAAGAGAAACTAGTCAGAAAGGAAGGCACAAAGTGCTCCTCTACGAAATTCCTGGCAGTCCTCGTGTTTATGTATTCATGTACCACAAAAGAACTTCGATGGAAAACACATTCAAGTACCAATGTGTTGAGTGCGCAAAAATGAAGAAGTGCACTTCAGTACTGATGAGCTTTGAAATCTGTCTAGTTCGTTTGAAAAAGTAGTTCTTTCAGGTGAATGAAGACGACTTTCTGGATGATCCTGCCATGTTAGCATGTGTGCTTGCCGAAAGACAGAGCCAAACATAAAGCCGACAGGATATCCTATGAAGTGAGAGGAATATATACGAATACAGTCCAAAAACAAAGACGAGTTAGACCTTATACGAACTACGTAGCAACAAGCAAGCTTCACTAACTCCCACCATCAAGCACTGGCTGAAGGTGGTGGATAAAATACAGGGTGTCCCAAAAAAATGTATCCACTGTTTGATTGTAAATAACTCTCTTGTGATGAAGTGTTTCGGAAAGCTTCAGGTACCATTTTCTAGAGCGAGGTTCAACTTAGATTTACAGTATAGAAGAATCACCCATCCCTCTTCATTACTGTAGGACCACGGTAGAAACTTGAAACATATGGTGTCAATGTGGAAAAAGTCGCCGTTTCAAAATTTTTCAAAAAAAATGTAAAAACTTGCGCAATAGGGTTTTTATGGACGCTGAGTTCAATTATCAACTATTCACGAAATTACGAAGCTTTCTAACGGTGTAACCGCATTTTTTAGGAACATTAGGAATAAATGACCGCTACCTCTTACCTGGCACTCTTCAATGAAGCATCATAATAAGTTATGGACTTACAGTTATAATCAGCAACTCTAATTAGCCTAGTGTAAATGTTTTCCGGCTGTTTTGTTTCCTTTCTGAGGCAAATATGGCCTGTCATGGCTCAAAACCCTCCTTGAAGTTTCCACCGTAATCCTACAGTAATGAAGAGAGAAGGGCGATTCGTTCCATACTATAAATCTAAGCTGAACCTCGCTCTACAAAATGGCGCTTACCGCTTCTTGAAAGACCTCATAATAAGAGAGTTATTGACAATCAACAGTGGATACATTTTTGGGACACCCTGTATAAGATTTTTGACTAGCAAATAAGATTAGTGACACGGTGCTGAAGCCGGCACAGGTTATTGTTCAGTTGCAATTTATTTAATTGCAATTTAATACTTGGATACAGAAAATTTTTGATTCCTGATAGGAAGACATAAGAACACGCGATTCTAAAACCACATTTAGAAGGCAAAGGCTATATGAAGCGATCTATAGCAGTGAGTAGTAAAGAGATGCTCTTGCGCCAGTACAGCAGGTCTTTGAATTAATGGTGTCAATTGCCACCACCAGGTCCGAAAGAGTTAAACCACATATCACTTCGCGGAGTTTAATGCTTTTTCTACTGGTTGCTTCAAAAGAAAGTTACATACTAAAATCGCTAGCTAATGTACTTGTCGTAGTCAAAATTTTCATAGTAGAAGTGGCTGTAATTTGGTCGAAACACCAGTAGTTGAGTTTTTCTCGCAGGATGTAAACATTAGCTAATCATTGAATCTTGACGAAGTCGTTTGCGACCAATTTCGAAAACGAGCAATTTGCGATTCGATTTTGGATATAGCAAAGCGATGTCATTGAAGTGGATCGAATCTCCAATCATGCTTATATTGAATTTATCACTTCACCGAATTTTCGGTTTCATTTGCAGCTTGTTCATCTTCCATAATCTAACCTAAGCAGTAAGACTTGCCATTTCTCTCATTTTTTCTTTCCTTGTGAAAAAGGAAAATACAGCAGGTGCGGATATGGTTGTTTGTACCCATCTTTTGATGAGTCAGTAGGATACGCACAAGCAAAGGTATACATAGATTACTTCATGTTACATGGTCGACTTAACACTCATTGTTACGTACTAAAATGACCTGTTTTTAGGTATAGGGCTCAGCACAGAATTGCCGTTTACCCTTGTCCCTCGCTTCCACATCCTCTTGCTGCGCTGTTCAATGGTTGCGTTCAAGTTCTAGGCGCCAAAGTTTGCTTATCTTTCCAGCTAGTGCTTTCGTACCACGGGAGGTCTAGTCTGCCCTTTTAGTTGATGGTCTTTCTTAAGGTTTCGCTTGTGAAATCCTCGGATGTTTTCAGTGTCCATCGTCGTCTGTTCTTCTCATGATGCCACACGTTCGTTGTCGCAGTAAAAATTAGACGATGTGATAGGCGCTTGTTTAGATTTGAAATGTAACATATCATTTGCTTAATACCACATTTTTTGTTCGTGAATACATCTACTGGTGCAAACGGAACGCAGGACACGTTAGTTATTAGTAAGGCAAAATACGACGTGTGGGCTGCACGTAATTAAGTTGCTGCCATCCAGCTAAAATGCGATCGAATGGGAATAAGAAAAATGGAAAAATGGGAAGAAATCTAGTTTAGCGAGTTGTAAAATAAATTTGTAGTTTCAGTCTTGCCGCAGTCTCTTGATATCCTTCAAATCCACAGTCTGAGTAAAGGGTTTTTGATCGAGCATACATATCCTACGCCATTTAGAAAAGTGCATCCATCAAAGAAGGGGTCTGAAGAACCGAAACATTCTGGCGCCTAATGAGCAAGCTAAGCGCCAAAAGTAAACAGCATTTTCTCCGTTTACTTTCATATCAATGTGGTAACGTCTTGTGTATATCGGCTTGCGGATTACACATTGACTCGAGAAGATTTTCGTGATTTGTATTGTAAGAAGCTACGAAATGCAGGTGTCGTTTCAAATCTCGCGGTCAAAACTTACTTGGCGGAGGCAGAAATTAGAGGGCATTATAGTTCATGATGGCAATGAGTGTGGACACGGAGGAGGCTATTTTGAGAACGTATCGTAAGCCAGAAAGCGATGACAGCCTACGAAGGCGCAGAATCGAGTATAACACGATATATGGATGGATGGACAGATGGATGATGAATGATGGATCACAATGGACGTTTCGATCGATGGATCAGTGGATGGACTGGTGCATCATGTACCACCCGAAAATGACCCGCTACAAGTAGTACTTCATAACACTCCATTATTCTGAGCAATAATAGTGTTTCTTCTGGTCGTCATGCATTTGTACGAAGAACCTCATAAGGTGCAAGAAATTCACTCAAACTTTCTAAGTCCTAATTTTCAACACCATCAACATCCAAATTACTCTGCATTATTTGCATACATTACCACCAAGTATTAGGTTGAACACTAAGTTTTGCAACTGGTCTCATAACTTCCCTCTCACTCAACATGGTGCACTCAAATTTTGCCACTGTGTTGATTATTACGTAAGCTACAAGCGCAGCTGCTGTCCTACCAAATTGTGACGTCGCAGTGAGGGTTACGGTAAGTGTATGGCATAAAGGGAAAAAATTCAAAGTTTGACGGATTTGACTGAAACTTGGCACAGGGGTGTTATCCGACATGCTGATCACGAAAACGATAGTGAAATTCCGTGATAAGAGCTTTTTTGTAGGATTACTGTAGGCGTACGTTATGGGGTGTCACCCTAAACAAGGAAAATGGCGTTGAATCAACAAATGAATATGATATTCGCGTTCGGCGACGAATCCGGATTACTGCGCATGGTCTAGGCTGCTAAAGGCTTCATTTTAGCTTGAAACCCCAAAAATTCTCAATTTTTACTAGTTCTCGAAAAATGCCTGAAACTTTTCTATTTCGTGCTCAAAATTTAGACAATTTGTGCTCACTTGTCACTCACATTGCATTCTACGAAATGTCAAAATTTGAGCGCGCTATGTTGAATGAGAGGGAAGTTATGAAACCAGTTGCAAAACTTAGTGTTCAACCTAATATATCCGGTATATTTCCCCAGAAGTAACACTTCCAGCAGCGAGATTCGGCCTTTCAAGCAGCCCATGAGCTTCATTCTTTTCCTACTATTCTAAATTTGTAACTGTAAAAGATTTGTTACTTGAACCTGACTCGAAAGTGAGAGCATATGCGAAGTCATTCTTGCCTTTTTCTCCCACTCCGTCCCATACTTACTCAACTGTTTGTATTTCATTTGCGAGGTGGTGCATTGTTTACGATGTATTTTATAATAAATAAATAATAAATATGCATCATAACACATGATCGATAAAATAGGAAGTTTAATAAAATTATCGGGATCCGCAAGTTACAAACGAATTGCAGCAGCAAACAGGTGAGACGTCCAGATGGCAATCTATCTATAGAATACAGCAAAAAATGTACCTCATTTTGAATTTAATAACATGTCTTACCTCCGCGAGTCTATGTCTCAAATTGCATTTGACAAAGCCGCTTCAAACTGTGATCATTGAAGCATATCATCAATCGCTATAAGAATGCTGTATTATCACGTAACTTTTACATCGCCGTGGTCCAAACAATCCATCCCAAAATATTCGAGAATAATAAATACTTTGTCGACCGGAAAATGCTGGTTACATGGATAGTTAGATTAAAATATGTACACACATAGGCAAAACGTAATTAGTATCTGTGTGTACTATATCAGGGACAATTGCTTGAAGTAGTTAAAATGACTTCATCCATGCTTCTCCTACTAATAGTAAATTATGGGTTAGCAATGTCATCAGCACAGAACGTTGTTCGATGGTAGGAAGTACAAAGAAGCACATGTTGTGCTCATCCAATTTATTCAATTTATACACGAAAAAATAGAATGCACAATGAAATTCCCCTCTCCCCTCCTTCAAATTAATCTCAAAGAAAAAACATAACTACATCTAAAAACATCGTAGTTTAGATAAGGCAAGCTGCGCGTGCGAGCGTGTACCTATGGATACCCTGCTGGGGCACAAACGATTATTGAAAGCTGCAGATATTTGTTTTTGAGCAAAATTTAATATGTTATGGACAAGGGAATAGTCAAAAGTTGCTAAAGCATCTGTTGAAAGTTTCTATAGACAAAGTTCGTGTTTTTGCAAACTTCAAAGTTGGACATACAAGCCCATGTTGGGCTGCCACTAACCAAAACATGCTGGTAGGTTGCTTTAAGAGTCCTTGTTTGGAGACATGTCCTCCAATCCATACAGGGCGAATCATTTGCAGAGTCGGGTGCACCAGCATCTCTGCTCCTGCGCGGTCGCCTCGCCTGAATTCTGCACCTCTTTCGCGTACATGCTCTCTTCACGCTTTCCCACATCGAGCGTAGGAATGGAGGAGCTGCAATCGCTAATCAAGCGTGCGAAAAGGTCAAAGAGTAGTTCGCGAAAGAGGTGCAGCCGGACGAGGCGGCCGTGTGGAAGCGGAGATACTGATGCACCGAATTCTGCTATTGATAAGCCCTGTATGTACAATTTTCCTGCAATAAAACTGCCTATAAGTTCGTTCGCAAAGACTTCCAGCAAACTGGGGCCAGCGTTGAATGCTGCATCCAATGGCATGCAGTTTTTTGGTATGGCTACACTTCTGACCATTTCCGTGTTAAGTTTTTCAAACCTTTTGATTTTGCAGCTTACAAAAAATGTAGTATATTTCTATCGTACTTGTAGCCGAATGAATTTGTTCAATCACGTTTAAGCCAAAGCTAGTTACTTAAAGCCTGTACAAACATTGAGCTAAGAAGTCAAGAATCAGACATTGAGTATTTTTTAGAGATATCCTATGCATGTCATTGTCACAGCATTTAAAAGGAATAATCTTTGCATGAATCACTGTCAGAACCCTTTGCAAGGCTAACAGCACCGGAGTCTCCCTCCCTGGTGCCGTCACCTGTTTGAGCATTCGTAACTCCACTCCACGTGGTGATGTCATCAACAGGCAAGCTGTCTGCGGACAACGTATCCAGTGCTTTCCGCAAGTTTGGTGGTGAGATACTTTCTCCCGTTTCAGGAATGACCATTATATCCGGCTGAAAAGATGACATACATACAATACACTAATCGTGAAGCGCCGAGCAAACACCTTTTCCGCATACTGCACATTATAGTACTCTTTCTGACCGTCCAATTTTAGATAATTATACTCTTCGGTAATTTCCTCAAGCTGAGCCGCCAATCTTTGGCGGATTGTTAAGAAGTCTGGTCGTTTCTCCGGTTCGAAGTACCAACATTCAAGCATCACTTCATAACTGCAAAGGGCATCGAGTATCAATAAGTGGAGTTGAACCTTACAAGTCTTCTGGGCAGTTGTCAGGCCGCTCAATACGTCCTCCGCTCTCAAGAAATTCAAGCAAACATTCAGCAGGTATTAATGGATAGGGAGAACCACCGAGTGTGATTATTTCGAAGAGCAGTACACCGAATGCCCATCTGCAATGGCTACAAATGAAAGATTTTTTATTGCTGCAGTCAGCTGATTGTGAGTAAAGCATTCACACGAAAGGTTTTCAATTAACAGATAAATAGCGATTCGGCTTCAGTTCGAAAAGTATATTAAACTTGAAAACTTTCGCATCGCTCTTATGCTTCATGACCATTTCTAAGCACAGTTGCAATGGCATTGCTACCAAAGTCCGCATTCGATATCCTCTTAAGGATTGCAGATATGTTGCGCGAAGATGTTATTGCTACGATATCTCGCTTTACACATATCAATTCTCATGGGTGAGTTTTGAATTACTAGGCATTGTGAGTAGTGAAGCAAAGATGGATGTCAAAAGCATTACACATCACTTTGTGCAGAGAACTCATAACGCCGGATTGCTTCTGGCGACATCCATTTTAAAGGTAAACGGCCACCCTGGAATGCAGTATTGATAGTTTGGTTTGTCAAGATTGAGTGACAAACCTTGCTTTTATATAGTAGACTGTCCGCATACAAATTCCGACAAAGACCGAAGTCGCCAATTTTGCAAGAGTTTTTCCCATTAACGAGTATATTTCTAGCTGCAACGTCACGATGGACAAATCCTTTACTAGTAAGGTACTCCTGAGAATATATTTCGAAGGCTCGTATAGAATAATGTTGCCGTTATACCGAACTCACGAGACCGTAAGAAATCTGAACGGCAAACATCAGCAATTGCTTCAAAGTTACAACCATTTCAATGTTGTAGTTGTTATCCTCAGGAAGATCGTGATAATTTATTCCTTCCATGTCGAGCTGCGAAACAGAAACGAGTTCAAAAAATTCCATTCGCGTACGAATCGCTGATTACTGACCTTAATCATGTATTTGCAGCGCTCGCGAAGAAAGTTCAACAAATCGCCATCGCTACAAAGTTCGGCGACAAGGCATAGCGGTTCCGACTCAGTGATGCACGCCAGCATGTTGACTAGCCTAAAGACTTGAAGTGGTGGGCGAATTTCGCAGAGACTTGTCGTAAGTGTGCCCAATTAACAAGGCGGTGCAGTTAACTGAGAAGTTTGGAGAAGGCACGGTATAGAAACAAATAGTTTGGAAGACGGCAGCTTTACTAGCGTAAGAAGTGCATGCGCTCCACTTTTCTTGCACTTGCCTTCAAGAATCAAATGCTACTCTATTAATCTTTGTGACATGAATTTCAAGGATTATCTTGACAGTTCAAAAATGATTATCGGCTTAGGGAACGGCCATAGGTTGGGTTCCTTCATACTACGCCGCAGCCGCGGCAGCCTGCCGCGTCCTGCAGCGTGCGGAGAGTGTGCATGAGTGTATTTCACTACGATTGTAGCGGCGTACGCTGCAGTCGCAGTGAGAATACACTCATGCACACTCTCTTTATCAATGTATTTCCATTTCTGCTGCTCGGTCGTCTTCTCCGAAAGTATTCCTTCAGAGTTTGCAATCTTTTTTCCCTTTTAATTTTCATCGTTGACCAAATGTTTCTTAACTTATTTTAAAGTCGTGTACTCTCTCGACTTTTGATTTTGGCTTTATGACTAACTGCATCCTGCAAACCTGATTCTAGTATTTTGTTGTTACTAAAAGTCTTTTATACAAATACATTGCCTGACGAAAGGGTTTCGATGAAAGGACAAAAATCTAGCAACTCATGCGTAGAAATAAATGACAACAAACTGGAGTTTTCGTGGTATCGAGGGCGCACACAGTATCAGAAACGAATGAGTAATCATTTGGTCGACGATAAGGCAAGGCATGGAAGAAAACTATTGCAAACTCTAAAAAATGCTATCGAAGAAAACGGACGTGCAGCAAATCTGGATATATATTAATAACAGCGAAGCTGTACTGCCATGGGCGTATTTTCACTTTGCAGCGGCACGCGGCAGGCTGCCGCGTCCTGCGCCGTAGTATAAAGGAAGCCGTTGCCGGCAACGGTTGCGGAGGTTGCTGAGAGTGCCGGCGTTGCCGGGGTCAGAGACAGGTTGAAGAGCGCGCGAAACGTGGAGGCTATCAGTGGTCCTACAACGACCGGCAACGTCGGCAACCTCGTCAAGCTGGAAACCTCGACAACCGTTGCCGGCAACCTATGGCCGTTCCCTACGATGATGACCCCTTCAGACAGCATAAGAACCTGCGAAACAACCAGACCGCCTTTTCCCTCCTCTAGTTTCTTTTTGCCTCTATGCTCTCTTCTTCTCAACTTTTAGCACATTTTAGTTTCTCCACAAGTTGGAAGTTAGTTCCTAATACTCTTGTGCGCTGACAGCTCCTTTGAGATTTTTGCATCGCTTTTATAAAAACACTGTTCACGCATGCCTTTGTAGTTGCGAGATATCTGTTCAGTAGCCTAGACTGAATCGACCATCGAAAAGTATTGACAGAGGACATTTAACATTAGACTTACCGTTCGTGATATCCAATGGTCTTCATTAACCCGATTTCTCTCAAAAACTCGCTTCTTGTCGCGTCATCAGCATACTCTGGTAACATTTTGACTGCTACCTAAAGCAGGCAATAGCAGGAGGACGGAGCACATGGCCGAAAGGAAATGGGCCGCAAAGTTTTGATGGTAGTAAAATTATGCAAGTGACTTGTTTCCACTGTTGATCAGAATACTTTTTGAGTTTGAACGAGGTTTTGTAGAAGAAAATTTTTGGCTGCTTTGCACTTTTTTTACTATCAAAAATAGGAACTGGGTAAACGAAGAAGCACTTCAGAAAATTTTTGAAGGCAGTAGGTAACGCTTCGCCCTTTCATTCGCCTCATTTCTTGATCTGGCAGAGGCAGTTCCAGAAATTATTTTCAAAAAATGTACTGCCAGAGCGAAAGAGGGAAGGTCTGACTAGCTCCTATAAATGCATTGCGATATAGATACAGACCTGACAATTCTCCGCTCTCATCAGATTTACCCCTAGAGGCGACTTGGAATCATGATTCGCTGGAGAATTACCAATTAGTCTTCCTGAACAGTAGCGATAAGCAAAGTATCAGACGAATTGAAAGGTGAATTTGTGTGCTAAAAAAATTACTTATGAGCAATAAGAAAAATTTGCTACAAATTTTTTTGCATGCAAGCTGTGTTACACTTGATTAGTTGATGCTTTACGTAGCTTGTTGAAAAGTCCCGCTTCAAAGCTCCGTTTTCTCTTTCACCTTCTGTTTTTGTAGGTAAGTTTTGTAGGTGCTTTTGTTCCTATGTCGAATAATTCTTCGTTCACAAGACAGTTGATAAACTGGCACTGTGGCGACTCAATAGGATAAAGCCACGTAGGTTTTATACAAGGCCTAGTGCTTGCCCAACATTAACGACTCAACTAAGCTTGAGCGGATATAATGCAGTTTCACTAAAACATAATCAGAATATTTATCAGGATTTCGATATATATATATATATACACACACACACACACACACACACACACACACACACACACACACACACACACACACACACACACACACACACACACACACACACACACACACACACACACACACACACACACACACACACACACACACACACACACACACACACACACACACACACACACACACACACACACACACACACACACACACACACACACACACACACACACACACACACACACACACACACACACACACACACACACACACACACACACACACACACACACACGCGCGCGCGCGCGCGCGTAAACAACCCTTAGCTCGTTATTATAAGGTCTTGATAGGATGATATATAGTATATGATGATACTGAGACGCATAAAAACTTTCAAAAGTGCCATACAAGTCATACACCTAGTTGATGTGATATAACAAGGTATCCTAAAAAAATGTATCGAACTTTCAATCTTTGAGAACCTCCCTACATGGAAAGCTTTCGCGGATCTTTGAGTGTCATACGGTAGAGCTGGGTTCAACTTAGATTTACAGCATAAAGCGAATCAACGATCTTCTTGGTTGCTGTAGGATTACGGTAGGAATTTTCGACTAACTTTAAGCTTCTGACAGGCGAGAACTGCTTCTAAAAATTTCAAAAAATCGAAGGACGATAGACTGAGGTTTTTGGGGACGCTGAATCTAACAAAGTTTTCCGCTTACGTACCCCCATCTTCCTACACTACGGGCATTGTAATGCATTAATTTCTGGCTTTTGACGACGTGTTGATAACTGCAACGTTATTCTAGTATATTTTGGAAAAAAAACAAAAATTACGCATTACAGTGCGCATACCGTGGGAAGATGAGGAGTCCGAAAGAGGAAAACTTTGTAATTAGATTCAGCATCTCTGAAATCAGTTTATCGTCCTTCGGTATTTTTGAATTTTTTAGAAGCAGTTCTCGTCTGTCAGAAGCTTAAAATTAATCTAAAATTCCTACCATAAAGTAATCAAGAAAAGTCGGTGATTCGCTCTATGCTATGAATCTAAGTTGAACCCAGCTTTACTGTATGACACTCAAAGATCCGCGAAAGCTTTCCATATAGGGAAGTTATCAAAGATCAAACGTTCGATACATTTTTTGGGACACTCTGTAGGGCTGCGCGTGCGCAAATCACTAACAAGGGAAGTTCACTTAGTCGAAGTTGCGATTCGGAAGGAGATCTACACCAGTGGAAAGAGCTTATGAAGCTGATCTCAGATATACCTTCTATACTGCGATGCGTTGTTCTGAAAAAAAATTATGAGCTTTTCTGAAGCCAAGTTTTCGTGCATTTTGAGTCGCAAATCATGATAATCGTTACGCAAAAGTGTGCAAGCTTGAGCAAACCACCTACTAAGCATTGTAGGCCTAGAGCTCACCCGAACGCTTTCGAGTGTTTTTCGACCACGTTGTTCAGCCACAGTTGTCATTTCATTCCTAGATCACAATTTCATTAGGTATACAAAAAAGCCCCATAATCTCCATTTAGAAAAGCGCGTCGCGTCGGAAACTTTTTGAAACTACCGATGAATAAAACGTAAAACGATGTTCTCAAATATATCTTCAATATCTGCGACGCGCTTTTCTGATGAAGGTTATGGGTTTTTTTTTTGTATATATAATGGAAGTGCGATCTAGGAAGGCAATGACGGCCTGTGAATAAACAACATGGTCGAAAAACATTCGAAAGTTCGGATGGACTCGAATTACTATAGTGCTTACTAGGCGGTTTGCTTAAGCTTGCACACTTTTGTGTAGAGATTATTATAATTTTGCGACTCAAACGGCACTAAAATTTGGCTTTAGAAAAGCGCATAACTTTTTAGAACAACGCATCGCAGATATAGAGGGTATATCTGATATCAGCTTTTTAGGTTCTATTCACTAGTTTAGATCTCCTTCCGAATCGCCACTTCGACTAAGTGAACTTTCCTTGTAAGACATTCACTGCAAGAGATACCAAACTGGACAGCATGGGTTTTTGTATCGCGTTCTTGCGACCATACAGAACAAACTCGAGGGTACTACTCAGGTATAGCTGGCTTTTTCCCGCGTGATGTTTTTATTCTAAGAAGCATAAGCGTTCTTTCTGTTAAGATTGAGTAGAAAGTTTAAAAAAGCATAGAGAGAACTGAATTTAATCAATGTTTTTATGAGATGAAGAACGACTAAAGATGGCTGGGAGGCGAACCTAAAAGTATCAATATCAATTCTTACCTAGATACACTGCTCCAAAAGCACCAGACCCTAGCTTTACTTCGTCATAAATAATCAGATTACGACGCTCGATTTCCCAAATATCGAGTCTGAGAGCATGATCTTTTATGCATGGTAGTGGCGAGTTTCAAAAAACATACTGCTTGGGAAGATTAACATATCGAGTTTCTTTCTCCATCTCCAGCTGCGCTAACCTCAATTGGTACATTTTATTCTCTTGTTTTTGCTTCTTGTTAATGTAGCAGCTCAAGGCAGTGATAATCATCACTAAAATGAAAGCTGCGCCTATTATGCCGATAATCAGGCCAGCCTTGCTAGGTTTTTCTGAAAGAAAAACGTCGAGAAGATGATGTAATGTAAGGTTCTGTTCTCTGCAAACCTTTTGAACTGACGAAGATTTTGCTTGCTTTTGGAAGCAACACCGAGCTGTTTCCGATAAGCTCGGGAAAGGCCAGATTTCTGGGATCCTTAACTGCACAAAAAATGATACCGTAGGTTTTATCGTAATGGATGCCGGATATTGAAACGCTGTTGTTGTAACTTTTCTGAACGTGATTGAGCAACGCATTTTTGAAGACGTCGGCTAGTGACACTTCCGTTAGATTCTTACCAAACAGTAGCCAAGCTTATCGAACTTCAAGCAGTTGGTGACATTTCCAGTAATGCGTGTGACATTAACACTACCGAACAGATCCTGTTAAGGAGAAAGCTATAATGGGGATGACGAATCGATGATAGTGGACATGCATCTCTTCCTTTCGAGTGCGGCTGCGCATCTCCATAGAAGGCTACGTAGTAGTTTGTTGGCGCTTCGTTCCTCATTGGCTTTATCGGATCAAATGTAATGTTCAGGGAAAGACTTTCATTTCTCCTATCGGGAGCTGGTTTTCTACCCGTTACCTAAAAAAGTGGGCTATGGTAATAATTTTGCGAATACAACATAACAAACCTCATAATCTATAGTGTTAATCTGTCCGCATCTTGGAGACGGAAAATAATCTACATGCACACAAGGGTTGTTTTTTACGGTAGCGCAGCCTTATAAAAGATAAGAATCAATCAGAAAATAAATCTGACACTCTCCTTACTAAATGTGGTGCATGCAGAAGAGAAAAAGCGTCGCTTCTCATGCTACAGGGCAAGCAGTAATTATGCAAGAATGACACTCTTCGAGAGTAAGCAAGCTCTACGATATGACTATCAGGAATACGTTAAAAATATCTTATACATAAAGCTGAATGTCTGTTTGTATGTATGTCTATATGTATGTACGTATGTTCCGAATAGAAATTTTTATTTCTGAACCGATCGGGAGCAAACTTTGCACACTTCGGCGCAAGGCGGGTGTCATAGGCTACTTCTCGCTATCGATCGATGTTGATTTTATCGATTTTTTGCAAAATTTGAGCTACTGGGCTGGAAGTTGGCGCAGGGGGGGGGTAAATCGAGCACGCTGACTACAAATATACAGGGTGTCCCAAAAAGATGTGCACACTGTTTGATTGCTAATAACTTTCTTGCTTTCATGTCTTTTGCCGAGCTGGAAGTACCATTCTTTAGAGCGAGGTTCAACTTAGATTTACAGGTATGGAGCGACTTATCAGCAGCTCTTCATGACTGTAGGATTACGGCAGGACTTTCGATGAGGATTTTAGGCCATTGAAAGCGGTATTTTGCTCCAGAAAGAAAGCTAAACAAGCCAGAAATTCTTAAACGAATTAATCGAACTTGCTGATTCCAAATATGAAAATTGCACTTCAGTACGCAGTTTCCTTCAGGAGTTATTTCAGATCTAGGGTAACAATTGATTTTCCACTGTTTGTCAGAAATGTGAATACGCCATCAAGAAAGCTCAAAAACTGGTGGAAAATTATGTAGTGAAATCTGCACGCCTGAAAACCTTGCTACACAGATTTCTAGATTTTTTTGAAATTATTTCATCAAAAGGCCTATTCCGCAGTGGCGCCGTATGCTGAAAGTTCATACCGTGATCCTACACTAAAGAAGAGTGATTGGTGATTCGCTTCATACTGTAAATCTAAGTTTATCCTCGCTTTACAGAATGGTACTTCAAGCTCGGCAAAAGACATGAAAGCAAGAGTTATTAACGATCAAACAGTGTGCACATCTTTTTGGGACACTGTATTATTGACAGGGCCGGGCGGAGCCGGATTTGCCAGCTAGTGACCCACTATGACTCAGGCAAATCTCTACTTCTTACCCCAAAACTGGATGCGCGTGAAATCCTACAGAGCTCCTACTATTCAACGCTATATAAACCCATAGTGATATGCACGAATGCATTCGCCAATCTTTTGAAGCAGGGATTAAAAATAATGGTAGTTCAAAAATAATGCAATAGGTAACTTTTAGGTACGTTAAAGGTAATAGTACTTTGCCGTATCAAATATTGTCCCTTAGTCCAAGGCCAGCACCTCCGTTCTTCCACGGTTCCTCAGATCGCTGGATCTACGCAACTCGCCAGTTTTTCGGACACAGATTCACGAACGGCAGGGAAGGATATTGGCCGATGAATCATTTGTAACGACATATGTTCATTCGGGGTTGGAAGCTAAGCTCAAACGTGCATTCATTATCTGCTGGGCGGTCTTTTCGAAAAAGTTATGGGCACTAGTATAAAATAAATCGCTCGTGACAGATCTCGTTTGTCCAATAAGCGCAACACTACCACCTCAAGAACTGCAAACCCATAACAACTTCATGTTTTATGTTAGACATACAAAGCGTCGCCGGAAAGGTCATTCCAAGAGACCATTAAGCAGATTAAAGATGCAGTTTTGAACTCAGCGTTTCAAAGCGAATGTACTACATATGTCTTGTCACAAACGAGGATCGACTTAGCATCCTTTCCACGTTGATGCTGTGTACCGTTCGTAAATTGTCCAAAAGCATCAAGTCTTGCACAAGCACACCGCTCTTACCACCAAACAAATCGTTGCAATGCCGAATCGAACAGCAACTGAAATTGAGGTATAACTCAAGCTTCATGTACTTTTGTGGCTAGCCCTGCCGCGGTACCATGAAAAGCGACATTTTTCTCACTTCCAACCTAATGGTAGCACTAAAGACTCACTTATTTCCAACGGTGGCACGGATTTATCTAGCACCATTTTTGCCGACTCAGTCCGACATTTCCGACTTGCTACCCTCTCCGCATTGTACATGTAGCTACATTCTCGATACATCACATCAGCCTCTAGTCGACCGACTATAGTATCCGGGTTTGGACCTTGCGTCTATAGGTCACTTCCCAATTTGGACGTATTTGATTTAAGCAAGAATTACTTACAAAATCAGGAACAGGGACGCTTGTATCAGAACCTGTTTTGTTACAACTGAATAGATACCATGCTGGAGTTACATCTAAATCTTCGAGCCCTAATGGCCACGCTGAATAAAACTTGTTGACCTGTAAATGTGTTGCAATCTATAAAAGAGTTACCGCCGGCAGTATATTTCAATGTGACTTCAACAGTGCCATTGTAAGCTGAATCACTATTTATAGAAGTATTCTGGAAATTTGATCTAAAAAACAGATGTAAAAGTCAAGAAGACCGCACCAGGTAAACCATTTTTGATAGTTTCAACTCCGAGCTAATTAGCGGCCGAGGTGGACCGAGTGAGATGGGTTCGGAAAAAGGCCCAGTCTGAGAAGGGGACACTGCTGCCACACTTGAATTGACATCAAAAGTCAGAGACAAACTATGCGCAAGACAGTAGGTGTGCCTCACCGAATGTCGATGGGCTTGCAGAATATTGACTTTGGTCTCATAGAGTTTGTGAAAGTCGGTTGAGGCGAGATCTGAAAGACAAGATCATTCTGAAGGAAGCTGTAGTAGGCCCCAGCACAACGACGGCAACCGAAGTCCCTGACTGGAAACTAAATTTGTCATTCAAAATTTTTTGCGAGCGCTTATATATTGAATTCAGCTTAAACGGCTGTTCTTCATGCAGGTAAAGTTTTCAATGCTGAAAAATCCTATCAGAGAGGAGAGGAGTAGCTGCAAACCATTTCTACAAGGTAGACTACCTAAAAATGTTGAAATTTTCATCAAAAAAGTTGTCCACCTTGACTAGAACGAGACTGGGCAATAACACACCTTATAAAGTAAGCGGCAAGCAACCTTCACCTTTATTTATATAGGTGTCTCTTATCTTTCTTATTTCAGTCCCATTCATATTTGCATATCGGCTTTTTACTCAGAACTAACGTATTCTTATTTGCCAAACACAGTTATAAGCAATTCATTTTACTCAGAACTAATGTAGTCAAAGAGAAAGAAATTCCTCAAAGAAACGGTGGTTTACGGCAAACCGCTTATACCATTTGAAAGAGCAAATCTTGCTTTACGATGTCTATCCCTCATTTTCGGTGCAAGCCTGGTATTCTTTATTATATGACTTTTCAAATCAAGGTCTTTTAAGCGACAAAATTCTGCGATTTTGGCACCTGCATCTTCCGCTCCATACACGGAAATCACTAGTACAAATTCCCCATCAGAAATTTTTATAAGTGATGAGAAACAACTGTTTACGAGACCATGGTGCATACGAATGTCGCTTCCATGTCAAAAGAGACACTACAAAGAAAATAAAACGCAAACGCTTTTACCATAAGTGTAGATGTTTTACTTTTAGCACGATAAAAAGAATCTTCTAAGCGATTTTTTTCGAAAAGTCTCCAAGTAGCTAACCAGAGCTTGTACGTAAACATGTGCACCACTCATACAAAGCCACTTGTTGTTCCGAGATGCAATAGCGTGATCGGAACATTCTGCTATAACGCGCAAAACTCGAACGGCTGCAACTGACAACAACAACTATTGAGACGTACCAAACAATTCTTACATAATAGAGTGCATATTAGAGTGTCTTGGCAGTATACCAGTATTGCTTGTCACTAGCTATACCGCCTGTTAATAAAAAAAACTTCGTGGGATACGGACCAAATATCGAAAGTACATGTGGCGAAACCGCCAATTTTTGCCTCGTAAAAAACTTCGCCATGAGAAGTCGTGAAAGCTTTAAGTTTCTTTTCAAGTTGGAGGATAGGTATTGTAGAGCAAGAAGGAGCAGGCTCTTTCGAACGGTATAGGTATTTGCCGTAAACCAACTGTTTCTTCAAAAACGACGACAAAAATAAAAAGTCTACGAAACGCCAATCTTACACATATCAGAGAATCTTCTATACCCTTTTCAGCTCAGATACTAAACCGAAGAGTGCGAGTGTACCAGCGTTCGGTTTTTAAGTACGTAAGCATAGTTGATGAATTTATTATTTAACATCGCAGCCTTCTTCGCGGGGACTTGTGAGAGATAAGTCGAACTTAGGAAGAGGTGCGCAAAAGCGAAAATTAGATAAAAGTTTCTATGTTGCTCAAAATTTCAAGAGACACGTGAGTTGATAGGATGCCACAGACACAACTGCGTGAAACTACAGAAGTTCGGTGGCCTATTTGTAGGAAAGAGTGATGAATAGCAGAGTCAGCCAGGAGTAACAAATGAAGCTTTCTTTGCAAAAAAATGCCACTTTTTTTGAGGGATTCTTACCTTGCTTCTATTTGACATATCAAAGACTTCTCTGCGATGTAGCAAAAATTGGGCAGCTTTGAGGCATGGTCTTTAAAGGCAAAACCAAACATCTCAAAATTTGGATATGAAAGGTTGCCTGCATCTCAAACCTCAAAACAGAGCAGGTTCGAGCTCACAACGTGCTGCCCTTGCCCAGGAAACTGCCCCTAGACCCGTGCGCGCAAGTCACTCTTACATGCGCTCGGACGAGCTCGCGGTCTCCCTCCCACCGTCAGAAGCGGCATGCCACAATGCCATAAACATGAGGATCCCGCAACGACTCTACGTTTTCAACCATGGCGGGGAGCAGTCCACTCGTCCAAATTTAAAATGAAAACACTCGAAAAATGCTGGTTTTCGACATTTCCGTGCTCTTCAATGTGGATTTTCGGAATCAGCGCCTCGAATTACCCCAGGTAAGCGGAAAAACTTCAAGTCGAGGATTTGCCGAGCCACTGCCCTTAACACGTTTCGGACCGCGAAATCGCGCGCGGCGAAAAAGAGGGTACTTTCAGCCGTTAGCCAGCAAAGGGACCTTAATTCGTAGATTGTGTGCTACATCTGTAATCAGCATGTCAGATAAGATCCATACCCAGACTGAGTGAATTCGAAGCGTTTGAATTTTGTCGTCTGAGAAGCACTTCCGTGCTTTCTTGAAAGTTAGGGACAAGATTTCAGTTTCTAATTGTATCCAAAAGTATCGATGTTGTACACGATATACATTACTATTAGAACTACGGTTTTTCCCTTCGTATTCAAAGCTAAGAAAAGTTGCGACGTCGCACGCGTCGTTCGCGTTGCCGCACTTCGTTGCAACTGCTGTTCGATTTGTGCTCATATCTCCTAAACAAATATAGGCTGCACAACTTTGCAAAGTCATCTAAAAAGTAGAAGCTTAGGCCTTTGACTTGATAACCTTGGACAAAAAGAAAACCTCCTGTAAACGTTGAAAAGGTCCTTCGAAGGCGCGTGCTGCACCATGTGCAGCACCGGTCCGAAACGTGTTAAGGTTGCAACGCACTATTTTACCCATTCCCAAACGCGCACAAAAAGCGCCTGTTTCAAAAAAGCAGGTTTATCATGTCCATAAAGCAATACAGATCCGAATCGACAGTTTGGTTGACACCAAACTATCGATCTGCATCTGGCTCATAAAGAGAACTTGGAGCAACGTAAGGACACCTGAACCCGTCTCAGCCAAGCTAGATACGGAGGTTCCCCACGGGAGCGTTATCTGAATCAGCATCGAATAGGCAAAAATTTGAAAATCACATCTACTCGCATTGTATTTGTATGAATTATACCTTTCTTGGTTAGAAACTCAAACCATAAGACCGAGATCAAATCCGCAATAGATTCCATTGGACGAATTCAATTGGACGCGGTTTCGATCGAAATAAAATTGCTTGGGTGTTTCTCTGATTAGATTGATGACTGCGCTAATAAAGATTTCTAATCTGAGCATCCCTAGAAATCTCAAAATTTTCTTCTGGATATGTATCAATTGAAAATTTTACTGAAATTGGATGAAAACGTAAATTTTCAACCAATCCGATGTCAGACTCATGCATTAACCCGATAGTTGTCTTTGAGCAACTATTGGCATGTACTAGTGTTATAGAGAGATATGGCCCAATGACGCTTTGCTTCGACCAGATTGGCTGCTGGAAAACGTGGTTTCATGACCTAAGAGGCGACTGCTTGCGTCTGCGATATAGTGTGCGCCTCCCTTGCGAACATGCTCTCTGACTATTTTCTAGCCTTAGTTAGGTCACGAGCCCCGCCTTTCAGCCGCCGATCTGGTTGTTGCAAAGGGTACATACGAGAAGAACACTCACAGTCAAAGTGGCCGTTTGAAATGAAATATGCAGGGCAGCCTGCGGCGTGCGCGCGGCTGCAGTCGCAGCAAAAATATGGGCATGCCACAGAAGCTTCTCAGTTTGGAGATGTTCCTCTGCTGTGCACGTTGTCTCAGATGATATTCGTTTAGAGTTAGCAGTCTTCTTTCTCTTTCGACTTGTCTCATCATAGGTTCAGTGGTTCTCCAGTCAAGTTCAAAGTTGGGTGCGTTCTCGATTCCACAAAACCTGTTTCGCTTCAGCTAGTTCTCAGTCAATGACTTCAATACGATAATCTGTGCATTACCTCTTGTGAGTTATTAGATTTTTGCAGATCAACTTGTTGCTTCGTGCACAGCAGAGGAACTCGCCAGATCGCGAAGCTGCGGTGGTCAGCGACTGCAAGACGTAGTATGAAGGAACCTAAATGGTGTGTTCACATAATTAAATTTGTAGGTTTTTTCAAAGAATCTACAAAAAAATAGCAGTTTTGAGGTTTGCATCCATCGCTGACCTCAGCATCGTGTCTCATCCCAGATCGCCAAAGTAAAGCTGTTTTCTTAGTGAAAAGATTTTCTTATAAATCTCACATTTTGTGTAGATCCTTTTTAGCATGTCAGTCCTGTCGAGCTAAGTTCAGAGAATCAGCTGTTATAACCCTAACTTGAATTCTAAATTGACGATTACCACCTTCGTGCTGGGTCATAGCTAGTACGGCTAACTGTTCTTACCAGATAGCTCTGCGGAGAAAAATTGGCTTCGTCCGACAGTTTGTATTGCACGACGTAAAGAGTGGCGTTCCTAACAGGAGGAAAGACAACAACCTTCGTCAAATTCTGCTCCTCCGTATGAAGCCCACTGACGCGTTCCAGGGGCATCGTCGAGATGGAGGCATTGCAGCTATCCCAGCAGTACTCATCGGTTGTGTTCTGGAGTTGTTCAAACTTGTAAAGGAGACATAGAACGTAACGACATACACAAAATTGCGGATCCTTGCAATCTGCCTGACATTCCTGTACCGTGCTGTTCTGAAATGTACGGTGACTGTAAGCTCCGACTTTTCCCTGAAGCGTACGTGGGCAGCCAGCACAACAATAGTAACACAATGCGATACCCACCACGCATATGCTTCCATTATAAGCTTGGACTGCCACATCTACTTCAATAGGCAACCATACAAAATTGAAGAATTACGTTATTGAAGCATCGAAACTACACTATCACCGAAAACAAAGTACAAAATCAATACCAGTTGCCAGCCTAAACATTCGGCGGTGCAGCGGAAGAAGCACTTCTGAGATTCAATGAGATCCTCTGCATCAGCTGACAGTGGCAACCACAGCATCAGCAGAAACGCGTAGATCATGGAGCATGGGACTAGAACTTCTGACCT